AATAGAGGGGTCATTAGTTCTGAGAAAATTGAGTATTTTTCATCACTGTAGTAGAAGTGTGTACATATCATAAACAGACCCTGAAGGGATTTAGTTCCAGGTTATTAAGTGTTCATTTGAGATGGTGGAAAATAGCTGCTGTTTCTGATATTTTAGATTAGATGCCTCTTATTGCTTGTAGGGTTTATTTTCAGTGACTGTTAGTCTTATTATTACAAATATATATTTAATGACTGAGGTAGTATCAACAAAATTGGTAAACTCAGGTGCTATCCAAAAGCTGAAAAGTATTGATTCATTAGTCAGGACTTTATCATTAGCTGAACTCTAGTAGAAACTCTGCTGTAATGATATCCAGCAATTAACGAGACAGAATTATGTGAAACTTTTTACATGTAAAAATGAACAATTGTGTCAATTTGTTCACTTACAAGGATGCATAAAGGCACTAATAAAAATCTTACAGAAAAATTTTCCCTAAGAGAAGCTGCAGTGGAATCACCATCCTACTTGTGAAAAAAAAAATTAAGACATCAGGGCAAACATAGGTAATTTTTCAAAAGGTTTTTCAGAAATAACATTCTTGACCACCCCAGTAATGTTGTGTTTTCCTTGCCTAATTAGATTCATAGCCTGTACTGCAACCTCAAACTCTTAACAATAATGATGCAGTTGTTAAATGGAATAACACATGAGAGAGAGAAAAATAGCACAACTCTATTCAAATAGTAAACTGTATTCAAAAACATAATTTTCTTCTGCCTGTTTGTGAAGAGACAACACAGATGAAGCTTTTTGTATCAGTATTTTGCAGATACGATTCCTTTTATTTAGCTACTAAATCTAATAGAATCAAGAACTTTTCAGTATTAATTCAATTTTTTGAACTCTTCCCTATGACTGAATCATCAATGTACATAGTGAACTCACAGTTCTGACTAAATGGCATCAATATTTATGTTGGGCATGTAGTACAGTCACACTGGAAATCTAACACAAAGGGACTATTTCTTTAAGGATTGGCCAAATAGCTAAACCAAATATATTACCATTCACATTTGCTGCTGCATTTTTTTCTGCCTTTTGATTCTTGTCAGATTATTTTTTTTATTAGTACCATAGCTCTCTTTGATGCTGCTGCTGTTCGCTATGGCAAAAAACAGTGACCCTGACTATGAACCTCTGAAGTCATGTCATTGAGTCTGAACATTGATGTTGCCTACTAATAGTCTCTCACCTTCCACTAGATACTAGTAGGATACTAGCTCCTTTAAGGGGTGTTGTTTGAGACAACTACAGCTAATTATGAAGGTAGCACATGATGACCCACTGTTAAGTTTGGCTGCCCTGGTAGCATAAATCCTTTTTCAATCTGTTTGTCAGCCTGTCATTTTTGGAGCTTGAATTTTCCCTGCTTTCTGTCCATTATAGCTTGAAATATGTTTAAAACACTGGCCACAAAATAACACACAGATAAATACTGACAGCTGAAAGAACTGGGAATAGTAAACAGAACTTTGAATTGTCTGTCCTGCCTATTGAATTTTTTTATTCCATTTTGTCTTAAATGTGTAACATTATGGATAGATACTGTTCTTGGTAAGAAATAAATAATATAGTAATACTTAATTCATGAATGGAAGCATTCTCAGGATGTATAAGACTTTCTAGAGCTACTCTGTGGTTCATTCTTATTTATCTACAGATGCCTTTTTCAATCCAGAAGTATTTTATGTAATTTACTATTGTTCACACTCTGGTGCAGTTAAGTGCTGTTTATTAGGAGGGTAGAGAGCAGCATCCCTCAGGACACAGGCAGTTTGTAATTAGTAGGAATATTTGGTCTACGAAGTTGGTAATTATCCTCATATTCCTATAATTTAACTCTAGAAATGAACCATACATGCTGTTTAGTGGTTTCAGAAGCCAGATCTATTCTGAGTTTTGTGTAGGGAGGCTCTGTTCCATCACATGCAACTCCAGTGTGTGAGTTGACTAAACTGTGCTTAGTTGTGCATGCTAGCATATCTACATGGCTAATTAAATTATCATTCCTGAGCTCAGCTGAGGTCCACCTTCAGATCTATATGAAACGTATTATTGTGCTTTGATAACACGTTTTATTTTTTGGTTGGGTTATACTCATCTACATTAGCAGGTGACTGAGCACATTACCAAGCAGCTCAATAGATCCAAGTGGCTGCTGCCGATGTCCCCACATTAGATTATGCATGGTCCAGGGGCTACATCAGACTCAATTTAGTTTGGTTAGCTGGACCAAATATCCCCTTTATGCAGGTGTCTCAAAACTATCTGAAAAGCTAGCGCTTGTCTCAGACCTTTAGAGGCTAGGGTTCTTCCATATGCGCTTGGAACACAGCTTTTGGTCTGGTTTCAGTTCCTCAGAAAGAAATCTGGTTTGTTTGCGTTAAATGGGCTTCAAACCAGTATGTGGTACATGCAGACAGTCAAGGGTTTAGCTTAAAAAATACCTCTCCTGCTCTGAATTTAAGTGCAAATTCAAGCAGAGCATCTCACAGGTGCTGAGTTGCTGCATCCTCCCTATGACTGATAGTGTGAGTGCTTTACCATGGTGTCCAAATGAAGCCAGGCTGCAGATTAACGCGGTGTTTACAGCCACCCTTTAGACTGCCTTGATTTAAGTAAGCCAGACTTCAACAACTGGCCAGAGCTCAGAGTTACTTAAAGAAAGCAAACTGCTGTTTCTCAGACATTAGTCACTGGTTCCTGGATCAGACAGCACTTAAAGACCAACAATGTGAATGGACATAGATTCTGCACACCATGTCTGTCATGCACATAAATCTGGGCACGCAAAGTGGGTGCTCTACAGCTGACATCAGTGCACCAGCTTGAGTGCATGATCGACACCTATTGCATCATATATCATAAAGTTAAACTCCCATGACCAAAATTCTAGCTACTGACCTATGCTGTACAAAATTAGTTGTTTACTGACTTAGACAAGTGCCAGGGCTAGTTTATGTGCTGATGCGAGACATGGTAATGTCTTGCTAGTGCAGGGTCACGGTGGTGCTGATTATGCAGATTATTATTCAATTAATCTCATTATATTCAATATGCATTCAGTTCATTTTCTATTAGATAAAAAATAAAAATAAAAATCAGGGCAATTAGTTTCTAAAATATCTAGCCCAACTTTCTTAATACGGTTACTGTAATCTAAATTTTCCTTTTTTTTTCCCCATTGAAAAAATGGAAAAATGGAAAAAACTAGAGAGACAGGAGTTAAAAAATTCAGCTGTATTCAGTTGAAGTGGCCTACTCTCCTAACAGATTATGCTCACTGAATATTCTATTTTATAAATGGCTGCCATGTATATGAATGAGACAGTTCAAGTTGAATTTTTATATTTTAAAAAACTGACTTTTGTTTGTTTGGTTTTTTATTGACAGCCAGTTATGTATGAAATGTCTAAGTTCAGGCTTGAATGTCACCAATTCAGTGAATAAAGCAAAATGACAAAACATTATCTGCCACCTTCCTGTCTGCCTTCAGCTTTGCAATTTGCAAGCAGCAGATCTGACTACATTGAACTGCTAGACTTTATTATTTCTAGTACCTGATATCTGTCTCAGTCTGGTTATATGTGCAAGTAGCAGTGAAAATTGGATGAACACCTGCATTTGGGAACAGGAACACCTGATGGTGTTAGGTTACTGCTGTCATGTGAAATGTGTGCTAGAATAGGGAACCATGACTAATGCATGTGCACTTCAGCAATGCAAAAGGAAATGGTTTTTGTTAGGTGTGCTAGCATTTTGGTTTTTCACACTTGTGATATGTACACTTTTTTCTGCATCACAACTGAAATAGGTTCTATGCACTTGTGAAGGTAAACAATGCCTGCACCATTCCTTTGGTGTGTAGCTAATATGATACCAACTGCTTGTAGTGAAACTCATTTCACATACCCCTGGATGCCTTACAGAAAAACTACTCCTCAGAGAGCTAAGGTTGGTTTTGGAAGAGTGCTGAAATTTGCTTCGTGTGAATTATGTTTATTTTTGTTGTCCTTTTCATATCTTACATAACTTCATAAAAAACCATGAAGAGTGTAATAAAAGTGTTCCTAATAAATAAAAAACATCTACATTAAGTGTAAAAGAACAATAAATGCTTATTGAGCCTGTTTTTCTTGGATCTTCTCTTGTCACATTGACATGGAGTAAGAATAAGCTGCACTGATGTGGGTGGCATTACAACACCATAAATCAGTGGTTAAGCTAACAAATCTAATAGATCTGGTTTTCAGAAGTGGAGAATCTGGCATTTCTCCATTTCAAAAGCCCATTTCTGTTTCCTTTAGTGATGACTACAGTAAGGTAACCCAGTCCAGGGTTTTGGTAAGTGGCAGCTAGTTCAGGTTGTGTCATATTTTAAGAATTATATTCCTCAATTCAGTACTCCCACTAAAGAGAAAACTACAAACCTCTGGTGGCAGATGAAACACAGAGGTTACATCTTGAGTTAAGAACAACTTACTGGAAGCTGTAATGAGATGGGAAAACAATACTAATAAGAAAAGTACTCAAAGAGAGGGTGATGTACATGCAAAAATTATGGGCCCGACGTGCCCTACCCCAAGGCAATGAACAGTGGCCGATGAATTCTCCACCCAGACTGTTCCCACATCCCAAGCCACTCCCACCTTCTTCCCTAAAGTATCCTGGACTTCCTACCCCCAGAGATGGCAAGAGGTGCTGGAGAATAACACCCAGACATGGCCATGGAGCTCTAGGTTCCAATCCCTCACCGCTACTGTGAAAAGTTAACTCAGTCCTGGCCCAAACGAGGGTACTGGGTTACAGAAAGAATATTTTAGAGAATAATGGGAAATAAGTGGATACAGAAGAGAAACACCAGTCTTGCTGGGCAAAAGCAGCTACAATTTTATTATTTTTTCAGCATTGATTTTCTAATGGAAAATAGCCACTGAAAGAAACAATTACATGCTTTTTGGGTCAGTTTTTATGAATGAAACCTGATACTAAAATCCCTTTTAATTGTTTTAATCCTGCATGGAATACCAACATTTTTATCACAGCTTTTTTTTTTTTTTTCCTGTGGCAAAATTTCACTTTGTAAGAGTGAGAACATTCAGTAAAATTTTGTGTTTAATGAAATATTATTTTAAAAGGATTAAAAAAGCATTTCTGTGAGGTCAAAATTATTTAATTTTTGTTGTTTTGAAATATCAAATGTTTTTCTACCTACTACTTTGGCATCAATGTAGATTCAAACTAAATTTTTGTCTGGCACAATACTCTTAGACAAAAATAGCTGTTTAGACTTATGAGTCTTCTCTTGTGTTCCAAAGTTTATTTGCAGAGAAAACAAACAAATGTTTTAATCCAGAAGACCAGTATTTAGATACACAGACATAGGGGTAAATAGGGCACACTGTTACTACCCTGTGTTTTGTTATTCTACCTTTGTTTCACCTAACCCAGAAGAAGATGCAGAAGTTGTTTGGATTAGTGCATGTCAGGTATGGCAAGTGATACTTTGCACAGCATTTCCTTGCTGTTATGGCTCTCTGCCTTCTATTTCAAACTATCACACTGACTTGCTCTTACTATTCTACCATTTGTCAGACTGGCTCGCAATGAAGACTACTGGCTCAGTAGACTTTTTCTGACATTCCCCAAGAAAGTTAAAGTAATTTTTTGTATTTATTTAATTATTAAGATCTGTAAATGTTCTTAAATGTTGATCAGGAAAGTTGTTTTTTTTCCCCCCCTCATTAAAGAATATGTTTCTCGTCGTGGCCAGCTGATCAGGCTAATCCTTAACTCCTTCTGCTATGGCTCATCATGACAGAACCTCTTATGTGTGCATTAAGCCAGACTCTCTGAACTGTGTAAATGGAAATGTGCAATTTTGCATGCAGCTGTCTGAATGTATTATTCCTATTAAATAAGCCACCCTCTTTCCTAGGCGCGTCTTGTTGTCACTTTGAAATGCAGTTAAATAAGAGAATCCTGATGCATCACAGAAATAATATATCATGGAAAAATTAGAGTTGTCTGCTTCTCATCTATTCCTTTGTGCTTTTTTTCCCCTGTGGCATTATTCTTACACTGAATTTCAATAGGACCTTAATAGTTGCTCTAGTAAATAGTTTGGAAAAAGGGCAGAATCTGACCTTTTGGTTGTTCAGCAGCATAACTGCTGGCTTCTAGATGCAGGTCAGAATCAGTCCCAGTGCTTGTTGTGTTTGCACAGCAACAGTTTAAGCAACAGTTTTATCTGGTGAGGGAAGAGCCTCGATAGACAGTGGTGTCATTTGTTCTTGCCGTGCTTTCATATGTGCCTGGACCTGCCTTATTCGACCTTCCAGCCGCAGAGTCCATTCCTGGCGAAGTCTGCAAAGAGAGTACAAGTGCTTAGCAGTTATTGAGCCAAATCCTTCAAATGTATCCAGGGCTTTTCAGCAGGGTCGAAGCTTTCCTCTCTTTCATCACCAGAGCACTTGTCCTGTATTTATTTACCAATTACACATCCCTCTAGCTTGCTAGATTGGGAATGCAGGGGAGAAAAGGATAGTGCTGATATTATCATCGGTTGACATTGCTGGATTCCAAATGAGTCAAACAACTGCTGAAATACTGTCACTGTGAAGAACTCTGTTTTTCCCTCTGGGGTATTCTCAAAGCCACACAGATGTACTGCCTATGCAGTAAGGTCATTCAATGTGTAAATTAAAAAATACAGTTTTTCCTCCAACCCCTCAAGTTCTGCTGTAAAATGTTGTGGAGAAGAGCAGGGTGAACTTAAAATATGTCCTTCTGGATAAAAAAGAAAATGAAGTCAACTCGGTAGACCCTGTACATGTTAAATGAAAGGAATTGATGTCACATGCAAGAGGAGCCACATAGCTTCAAGACACTCGCATAGTAAAAACAGAGGAGAAAATCTCTAGGGACCACTCCAAGATATTGTTGGCTGGGCTGTTTTCTGAAGGAAATGTTATGAAACATCTGACCCAGCAATGTTATAAGATTAGATATTATATGGTGATGTGAAATGCATCACAGAATATACGAGGTTTTAAATTACCTTTGGTGTGGTGTAAAGAACAGCAGCCAATGATTTCATCTGAGAATAACTCAGCAGTAGCTCTTTCACATGGTTGCTTGTGTTATCTGATTCTGAGTTTGGTTTTATATTGTGTTTTAAACTACCTAGTCTTCAATATCCTTTTGTGCATATAGATAAGCCTCAAACGAGAGGTGCAGTGAGTTAGGAAAAATCTGCCATTGAGAATACTGGTGTTTCTCATCAGTGTCCTACTGTCAAAAAAGGAGCACTCGCCTTTATGTAAAACCACACTATTCTCCCAAGTGCCTCTTACATGAGGTAGTGGATATGTATGTCTTGTATTGATAGTGTCTATTACCTCCTGAAAGTATCACTTTTTTTCAAATTATAGAACAGTTTGTGAACACTCTGGGCTTTGACCGGGCAAGTGACTTTGACGGAACCTGCTTGGGTCTATTTCAGTTGTGATGGGTCAGTTATGACATATTGAATATGTAAGTTAAAACATATTCAAGGTTCTTTCACGACATCTCTTTATTCAGAGTAGAGTTTTTAACATTTTCAACTTTGTGAAGTCAAAAATGTTATCTAAACCACAAACTGCATTTCATTTGCACTGTCTTCTCCTGGTAGTCTTTTGTGATCTAGGGTGATAAATGTTTCCAGTGAAACCGAACAATTTCCTGGATTTTATTATACATGTTTTTTCTCCAGCAATTTTGTGATTGGGATTTGAGAATATTACTGAATAGTTGGAGTAGGATACTGGAAGAAGGACTGTCCACATCCAACTTTTTTGAGATATAAGGCCTGCCCAGATCTTGATTTCCAAGTATCTAAGTGATGACAGTACTTCCTTCTTGGGGACTGGGGTCAAAGTACCTAGAATTTTTTCCAATAAGTAGTCCTTTAGCAGGACCTTCCAATTTGTTGAAGTCAAATTAGTTTATGTGACTGTCCCAGTTTTGAGAAAGGTTTATGCAGAAAACCTTTGTTAGCTTCAGGAGAAAAGCACAAAAAGAAGCCACATGAGACATGGTATTTCTTGTCCTCTGTTTCTGCCCATTAGTATTCAGGGGATTCACTCAGTGTGCAAGAGACCCTGGTTCAAAGTTCTGAGTTTTCACAAGTTGAACAAATATTGGAAGCAGTCCACCACACTTGTGCAGAGTTATCTGTACCACAATACAGCTATACAGCTCTCTCTGTAGGCAATTCCTGTTGTTTTATACTGCTTTGTAAAGCTCCCCCCTTCCCCAAACTAAAACAAACAATAAAGCCCCATAACAACAAAAAGCCCACAGCATTTTTCATTGAATGGGAAAATCTCATTGTGTCATTTTTACCTTTGGGTTTGATGTGAAAGGCTGTTAAACATGACAAAGGTGCCACAGGTTTTTAATTCTACAGATTAGGTGGGTGGTTGTCCCTTTAATGTAATACTGTTTTGTTTATTTGTGTAGCTCTATCAGTTCCAGGTAAAATTCCTGCTATTTTCTGGCTGTCACAAGCCATAATTCCAAAGTGCTTTATTTTTTCATGGCTGTGCTCCAAGGCCTTTGAAGAATGCTCATGAGGTTTAGGGGTGAGGGGTGTCTGAGTTTCCATGCAGAAGAGCCATGGTAATATGAGACAAGCAGCTGTGACAGGAAAAGTGCCAAAGATCCAGAACACAATCTGTGCTATGAATAAAGCAGTACAATAACAGGTTACCTTATTTTAAAACACGTGATGACATGCCTTGCTGTCTTGTGGAAAAGAAAAAATACCACTTACTTGTTCAGGGCACTTTTGCTTAGCCTAGACTCTTCAGCTTCTTGTTGCTTAGTTTGCTCTTGGATGACCTTTTCCCAGAAGTTCTTCAGCTCTTCCGCATCATGACCACCCATCCTGTGGTGTCTAGAGTTCGTACGCTTGTTCATTTTCTGAAAAGCAATTTGGAGGTCACAGCAGTCAAAAGCCTGACCTGAGGCAGATATTCTCTTACTTAGCCCCTTGAAATTTCATTCTTGGGAAGTGCTATTAAAATAAATTATGTCACCCGAAAAGAATAGGTATCTGGTGTGTAGTCTGCCTTGAACCAAAATATAAGGCATTGAAACAGGCCTTAGGTGACAGTTGAATGGCATAACGATATTTTTGCTGCTGAGTAATGACTGTGCATGGCACAGTTCACTGAAATATTGTGGATGCCTCAGTATGTGTGATATTTTAAGTAATTTTAGAAGAACTTGTGAAAAATGCTTTCAAATATAGTGCCATTGTCACTGGAGTTCAGATTAGATGTGAAGGACTTTCCTATTTTCTATCTTCCATATTCTTAAAACAGATCATAGATGCTTTATCTCAGGGAAATGCACCACTCCTAAATGATTCCTTTCGCTACTCCAAATGATGTCATGCACAAAATATACAAGGGAATTATTAATCTGAATTGAAACACGCAGAGTGCAAAGCCCTGGGGAGCTTGTTATGGTCTTGTTCTATTTTTTGTCAAAATTGTCTTAAATGCTTTTAAAAGTATAGCTCATTGAAATACAGGGATCAGTTCCAATAAATAATGACAGAAAATAGGCGACTTTGTCCTTGCTAAATGCATGCTATTGAAACATTAAAATTCTCATCGTGTCTGATGTCCTTGCTGATATTACTGTATTGTGTTGATTATCAGATGGTAGTGGTACTTTGAAAAGTTAGGTTCTGTAGCCTATTTCCTGAATCAGCCTTCTCCATTAAGTCCCACCAGAAAGTAGGAGGATACAAGAAAGAAAAACCCCAAAAACCTAAACTCCAGAGTTTTCTGTGACTAGATCAGCACTTAATTTGAGGGTTGCTATGAAATAAATCCCTTGTGTTTACCTGCGTTCTGCTATCATTAGATACATTTGCCAACACTCCACTTTGTAATGGTGATGAATTAATGCCTCATAGACCCTGATATGGACTTGTGAATCTTCTTTCTTGATGATTTCATACTTTAGGAGCTATTCTTGATAAACACAACAAAGGCTATGCTTATGTAGGCCAATCTGAAGAAACTTTTGCTTTGTACAGTGCTGTAAAGTAGAAGATCAGAGTAAATGTAAAGGACTGTCAGATCTAATACAATTAATGCAGATTTCTGAAAGATTACTATCAAATACAGTACTGGAAACTCCTGGCATCTTAAAAGTAAGTTTTAAGCTAAGTTCTGGGCATCTTCCTAAATTGAATATTTTAGATTTGTCATAATTTTCATGTATCATTTTTTTTAAAAAAGATCTGTAATAACAAATAATTTTGCCAAACTTTACACAAAGTCTGGCTGGAATGGAAAAACTATTTAACAAAAAGAAAAATCTCTTTGAGATACATTCTTTTTCCATTGAAAATCCAGTTGCTTAAAGACCAGCACAGCCCAACTGGAGTGATAAGCATGATCATGTAATATAACCTTCCGTGTGATGGAACGCCTTGAGAGGTTAGAACACTGGTCCTCTTCACAGCAAGGCCAGCAAGAGCTGCACTATCACAAAAACAACCAGATATTTTTCTCTGAGGCAAACAGCATTTTTCTAGTATTTCCCTTGATATGGACTGGGGGTGCTGTAGATGTAGCAGTGTGATACAGCAGCAATTGTTGCATTGGTGTGGATAGAGCAGTTCTACTAACACCTTTTGCTAAATGTGTTGTGTTTGGCTATGAATATGGTCTAAATGGGAATATGGGTAACGTTAATAAAGCTTTGTCTCACTCTGAGGTCCCAAAATAATAGCATTATTTAAGGCATCATCTTGCAAAAAAATATTCCTGTCACGGATGCACTGGAACATGCCTTATCTTTGTCCTAATTCCATAGGCCTTGAGCAGTGTTAAAATAAATGCTCTGGTAATAGCTTGTTACAGCGAGTGATGGAATCTGATTATTTCATCATTCCTGGATCAGCAGGTCACATGGGTCTTCGCACCATTTAGAGGCTCTTCTATCACTAGCAGCTGCCTACTTGACACTCTACAGATAATTATCCCATTGCCTCAGAAGCCAAGTGCAAGTTGCTGACAAACTGAATCAGCGTGCCCTCCAAACCCTATTATACTTTGCCTCATATAAGAATCTGCCATAACACATTAACCTTTAATTAGAGATTAAATTTTTATGATTATTAAACTTCTAGCTGTTGTTCTCCAAAGGGTACAAAGAGGATATCCAGTCTTTATCTGAGATTTAAATTAGTTAGATTTTGGGGGGTACATCAGGGTTTTGGCTGCCTTAAGCTTGTCTGCTCCACTGAAAAGAGCACACTGTGATCAGAGAGGTGCCCAAAAGATGGAGGTAGTTCTGCAAGTTTCAGTCTGCTAGGTTTGTGGGTCTTTTTGCAAGAACATTTGCTATTAGTTCCTAGGAATGCCAGTGACAGTTAATATTTCACATGGTATTGCTGTGGTCCTTGCTAAGATGGATTCTAGAACTTCTGAAGACAGTATTGTCTGCATTGCTGGCCAGCCTCTTTGTGTGAAAGCATCATATTTTTCAGCCTGGCATTACGACATCTAGGTGTAGAGACTAGGGTTCATGTGTACTGTAATACCTGCTTTTCTTTATGCTAATTGAAACATTCTTCTTAGGAGCTTGGTTTGAATTTCTGAGTAACCCTTTATATAAAAAAAAATCTTTATTATTGCTCTATTGATAACATTTTTGTTGATGTGTGATATTTTATTTTTTAGATGTCCCAATAACCTAAATTAAATGTACACTGGCGACTGGACTTAATACTGTCAAAGTTCCTCTTGATTCCTTCACTCAGATAGCTCAGGGCCCAGTAACAAGTAGAACAATTAGATTTTCCCTGTAAATAAAAAGCACACTTTCTTACAGTCACTTGGCCAGTTTTGTCTGCGTGGACAAAGGGCAAAGAAAATAGGTTCATCATTCCAGAGATATTACAGTAAAGTCAGGGAGGTGTCTTTCTGACTCCTAATGGCAGGTTGTTTTAACATGTTTATATACTGATATGAATGTAAAATAACCAAGAGCAAGCACTTCTATTATTTTAAAATTATTCATTCAGAAGACTTGAAATATTGTAAGTATCATTTATGAACTGAAAATTTATGCTATAAAACTTTCTGCAATATATTTTCTATGAAAGGTTACTAAAATGTGTGTAACACTGGTACAAGACAGTCTCTTATTAAATATACAACTAAGATAGTTAAGGAAGAACTATGATTATATAGGTTTTGCTGTCCTACCTGCCCATATGAAGTATAGTTTACTGCTCTTTTAGAGAGCCAAACTGATAAAACAACATTTAAATTAGAATGAAATTAGATCTTGGTTAAAGTGGTTTATGCATTTGGCAGCTCTGAACCTCAACTGTCAAAAACATGAAAGTATGTACAAAACAGTTCTTACAGCATTCATAATTTACAGAAATTAATTTATATGCTACCATATTATTAATTTATGGAGAATGTCCACAAGAAGAAGTAATTGTAAAAACAAAATTAATGGCACTGTAAAAGAAAAATCTCCTACATTTATAATCAAACCATAAATCAGAGGGCCATGCAGCAATCTGTAAGATAGCAAATCACTTATGAAACACAGCACCTACATATAATATATTGTTTTAAACTCCTAAAATCATACAGACACCGACTATGCTGAATTGAAAGGGACCCACAAAGATCACCGAGTCCAGCTCCTGGCCCTGCACAGCACCATCCCCAGGAGTCACACCATGTGCCTGGGAACATTGTCCAAATGCTTCTTGAACTCTGTCAGGCTGTGACCACTTCTCTGGGGATCCTGTTCCAGTGTCCAACTACTCTCTGGATGAAGAGTCTTTTCCTGATAATCCAGCCTAAACCTCCCCTGATCCAGCCATTTCCTTGAGTCCTCTCACTGGTCACAAGAGTGAGGAGGTTGATACCTGCCCCTCTGCTTCTCCTTGTGAGGTCACATCCCAGAGACAGTTTAGAGGAGGTTTGATTTGTGAATGATGAACAGCTTTCCCTCTACAGACTTACCCCATAAAAGGGGAGAAAATTTTGCTTCTAGCTGTAAGTCATATGCACAACTTTTGTTCACTGACAAAAAAATAGTATAGAAAAAGCCAGTGGTACAACCTTCTCTCATTTAATCTGATCTGCATCTGAGTGTGCTTTGGTAAGGTGTTAAATTAGTAGGTTCCCACATGCTCTGGTCTTAGTCCCTGCCTGGTGTGCATGTATTGAACTAATGCAATCTCAGTCTATCTCTGCTGAGGTACAAAAAGGAGTTTTAAGAAGTATCCAATGCAAATAATTTCTTTTCTGTGCACTTTGTAATTTCTACATTGGACTCTTTCTGGAGAAATTTTAAGAGCCAGAAATGGCTCTTGATGTTTTGAACAAAATTGCTATTTGGAGTTACCTTTATGTGAAATAAACAAGCAGGAGAAGAAAATATTTTCTAAAGTCTCAGGAGCCATTTTTTTTACCTTTTAAAATCTTTCTATTTGACATGTGTCTTAAGATATCTATAGTCTTTGAAATTCAGTGTTTTATACAAACAGACTTGTAGGCAAAATATTTGTGCTTTTGCTTTATAGTGAGAAGTATTTCAATATATTCAGTAAAACTGTTAGTTGAACATATTTGGAGAAAAATATCAATGTGATTTTTAGTCTGAATTATGCATAATTTAAAGAAAAATTGGTTTGGCTAACAGAAAGAAAACCACTTTATGTTTTACATTACCAATAATGTAAAACAATATTAGAATATTTCCAAAGTTTATTTAGAAAATTTTTGCTGAAAGACAGTCTTTAACAATAATTATATTTTCTATATGTATATATACATATCTTAAAAATATTTCCTTTCTAAAAGATGGAGATAAGTCTAATTTTAACTCTTTCCATGAATCTGATGATTCAGCCAATTTTAATAAGGAACATAAGTATATTCCTGGAAGAATTTCCACAGTCACTTCAGAGATTTTTTGGTGACCATTGTAAACAATGGAAAGATTATCTTTAACTAGACTCAGTCCCTTGGGTCATATCATGACCATGAGCTGGTTTATCTTTGTCAGGACACTAATTAATATCCTATTCCTTTTGCCCTTCACCAGGGTTTGTTTGCCTAAGCATGGAATGTTTTCCAGCATTATAGATCTACTACAGTACAGTTCAAAGCCTGTTTTTAGTGGTCCTTAAAAAAATTTTTTAAAAAGCTCAAAGCTCTGAGAAGTTTTAAGTTACACATAAAGAATGCATAATTTTGATGAGTATCCCCTTACATGTTCCTTTTACGGTGGTTTTCCTTTCAGTTGAAGTGTGTGTAATACAGAAGTTCTTGTAATACGAAAAAAGATAATAACAAATAATAGCTTAATAACTGAAGTTATGACTAGAGTAAAATGAAACAGTGTAAGGATACTTATATTTTATAAATCACAGAGGATCAAAATAATTTTCTAAAGGTATACTGAAATATACAGAATTCCAGAATTCCCTCCAGGTCATGGAGGGAACAAGAAGAAAACATTGTTTAAATTCATATGATTTAACAAAACATAAAATTAATGTATATCCATGTATATCTAGGCACGTTTAATAATCAAGACAGGAAGAGAAAATCTTATTTTGGCCAAAATACAAGAATATAAATGCTTACTTTGATTGTATAGTAGCTTCCTCTTCTGTCAAAGTGTGGTTTTCTTGAGTGATTACTGAATCATGTCAGTTTTACCCCTGGGTTCCCCTTTTCAAGAGAACTCCAACTGCCAGGAATAACTGATGAAATCTTTTCATCCGTCACTCATTTTTATTTGGGAGTGATGACATCTGCTATTATGAATTAGCTTAATGGCAGCAGGGGAAAAAACCCCAAACCCACAGTCTCATTTTGTGAAGCCTGCAACACACCACGAGTTATGACCAGACAGTTACAGGGCACAAACTCTGAATACCACGTTTGATCTGTGCTATAAATTTTGGCAGGTGCCACTGATGTCATAACTTGGCTCTGGAGAAAGTTACTCAAGTAAGATCCCACAAGTGGGGATCACTGTAGCATAACCTCCATATGACTTGTGAGAATTCAGCACCATCCTCTCCAAGAAAAAGGATAGATCTGAAAAGATCATGTTGAATAACACATCTTGTCTCACGTTTGTGCTTCTGAGTGACTGACAGATAAATAGATTTCTTTTCCACTTCTTTTGAAGTGTTGGTCTGTAAAAGCACCTGGTAGACTACATGACAGGATTCCAGCTAAGCTGTTAATACACTCAATAGTGCAGGAATCTGACCAGCTGCAAGCTGAAGCATAGCATATATAATTTGTTACCGAACTTAGCAATTCCACTTCTTGCACATATTCTTCCTCCTTCCACTGGTAGTCCCGGGTGAACAGAAAAACACAAGCAAATAAGGTGCTACTTACTCTGACAAAGGGAGAGCAAATAGGGACAGACTTTCTGCTCTCAGCTTTTTTTTTGGCAACCTGAATGCATAACCTTTTGGTAGTTTGGCAAGTTCCACCCTGAATTTAATTATACTTCTTACTCCAGGTATTCTTAGTGAAAGCTTGCTCCAGACTTTTCTGTGCCAACTACTGTAAGTTTTCTTTTAATCTAAAATCTGAATGTATTCAAGAGACAAGTTACCCTTCTCCTGTTTTCAAGCTATGTAGGGCAGAAATCTCTTCCCCTCTCCTTCCTTGTTTTGATATTATAGCATTTAAGGACTTTGGAGTCTTCTCATACTCATTCTCTGGATAGAGAGATAGGTATCATGACTCTTTTCTGTGGTCTCATTAAACACAAGCACTGAGAACAGTATGTCACATTCTAGCTAAGTATTAGTCCCTTGTATGCCTCCTTATTTTGATTGGATAGCACAATTGGAATATAAAATAACTTTCATCTTTTCCAGAGAAGTACAATGCTCATTACAACTTTCTAATTGATTCATGCACTCATCTAGTTCTCCTCTTATTTTTTGCAACTTACAAGGTTCAACTTATGGCAGAACTTTTAATTAGATCTCAACCTCACAAACTGCCCCTTGTGCTATTTTCTGTATTCCAATCCTTCCAGTAATATCTTTCTTTTGTTTTTGAAATTCAGTTCTCTATGCTTATGACAACCTTTCTGTTCTCCAGAAAATTTTTTTAACTCACTGCTTCATTTTGTGCCAAATGCTGTTGCTCAAAACATTGTTTCTAAGACAGCTCTGGATAAATTCCTTTTTTAAACTTCTCACAGTTAGGGAGCTTTCACTAAAAGATGTTAGCTCATTTTAACAACTTCTAAGTTTAAATAGATACATCCTGGTGAGATCATAAGAAATAAAAGCTGGTTCCTCCATAGGGAAGAGAAGAAGGGTAAAGAAGAGGCATGTAGTCAGCCTTATCTCCTAATACAAAGAGTAGCAGGTTATTTATTGTCTGCTGGATGTGGTTAGTAGACAGTGAGAAAGGAGGAGAGAGGGAGATTGCAATGTATCATTAAGTATCCTTATAGAATCCATAATTAGTTCAGATGAACAGCTAAATTAATTTTTCCACTAATCAATCAGTAAAACCTCAGCACTGCTACTATTAGTGTAGGTGAGCCATGAAATGTAACATGAAGCTGGTAAATCACCGTTCCAGGACAGACTGCTCTGACTGACGGCTAATCCTGAACCCTAGACAAATGCCCAAATTGCTGATGATGGTGTCAGACTCACAGTTTCTCATCTTGGAGCTGCTCCTCTTCATATAAATAATGCAGAACTCTGGGCTTGAGAGGCAGTACCAACAGCATTGCTTGTTTGATCTCCTGTATGTCTCAGAGGTGCGTTTTGCACTTTCCAAGACTATCAAATATATTGCTCACATTTTCTCTACTAGGTATCCTAAGGCATACTTTTTCATGGCAAACAAGTTATGGAATTTTTTTAAAAAATCTGAATTTCACTGCAGCCCAGACATAAAACAGATCTTGAAATCCCGCTTATATTCTTGTGCTGAAACTGCCCCAATTCAACATCTCAGAGAACTCACACACAGTTCCACTGTGCAATGTCAGTGGTGCCTAGTGGTAAGAAAGCATAAGAAACACTAGGGAGAGGATGAGGCTGCAGCAAAGCACACAGAAATAATCAGAGATTTTTGATCATTGTAAATAAAGTGACTGAGAAATTGGAAGCAAGACTGACTGATCACTGCAGTATCAGTCTGATACCATGAAGAGATCAGCAGCATAGTCTACTCCAGCCTTCTTGCTGTTCAGAGTCAGTTGAAACAATGTTATGTGACTTTAGAAGCAGCATAGATTTTCTCTATAGACTTGTCAGACAAATCAATATTTTGAGTAAATTATTTCAAGTTTATAAAGCACACAGACACCACTATATGATCAAAATTTTACAGCCTAACTTGACAGTTTCACCTAAGAATTTGACAAGTCTGCAGCGTAGCTCTCACAGTAAGGCTCTGACAGTTGCTTCTGCTCATTTGTAATGATTTAAATCTATAGGTATCAGATAATATTGTCTTGCACTGACACAGCCTTTGTTAAAAATGACTGTGTTTTGGATGCTGTATTACAGTAATTCACTTTGTTACCCTTTCACCACCTTGTAATTTTTGCCAGTTGGAACTGATATAGTAATTTATATTTCTTTTGCTTTATGTGAGCTATTGATGCTGTCAATAAAATGCTTGTTTGCATCAGGTAACTAAAACTTATCCTTCATTAAAAGGAAGAGAATTAATTTGTTAAAGTCCATTGAAGATTTCAGTGGGCAATTAACTATGGTAATGCCCATATAGTCTAACACTCTACAAAACATATATTTCTTTCCCTCTATTTTGCTTGGTCATATACACTTAACTACCAGAAAAGGAGGTAGCCTAGTCTCAGATTTTTTTATTTCCATTTCCTTATCAGGACTGTTTGCATTTTGTCTACTGCACATTATTTTCAAGCATGAGGGGAAGACACCAAAAGAAATGAAGGCTAAGTTGGGCTACAGCAGCTGATTCCTGATTTTCACTTATATAAAGCTACTGCCAGCTTGCAGAGCCCATAGCACATGATGTAGGCTCCCTCATGGAAGGGCTCCGTGACTGATTCAAGGCGCACGAAACAGTCGATGTGAGAGGTCATGATGAAGTATAGATGGTACTGCAGGTTTTGTGAGCTCTGGTAAGAGTTCTTCCTGTGTTATGAACTGGTTTAACACAGAAGGTTTAAGACAAAAGACCAAAGAATGCTAAGCCTCTGTGAACAAAATGGATCGGACCCAGAAAAGCTTGAAATATACTTCAAAAATGTGATTAAAACCAAACGAAGTTAGATGTTGCTGCCAAAAAGTTGAAAAGTTTTATTTAATAGTAAAAGAGGCAAAGAGAAAGAAAGAAAAAAAAAAAAGAAATAGAGAAACAGAGAAAGAAGAGAGTGTGGGGGGATGGCAGGACAGGGAAAGGGTGATGGGATTATGTAGAAGCCCTTCTGAGGGTCCCAATGACGTCTCCTTGCTCCCCTCATCGGGTGTTCTTGAGGCTCCCCTGCGGCTGCCGTGCCCCCAGGGCACACGGACTGTATGGAATCCCGGGGATGGATGTACCTGTGGGCAGTGGGGATGCCCGGGTGCCTCCCTTGCAGGCCCGGTCTGACGGCGTCCCTTGCGGCGCTGCGGCTCTGTCGCACCGCTCTGCCGTGCCCCGGGCGGGCTCCGGGAGCCCTCGGGGGATCCTGTGGTAGCCCACGGCACCTCCGGGTCCTCGGTGTGGCTGCGGCTTCTCCGGGGCGAAGGGGCCCCCCGGCCGAGCCCTCTGCACAGCCGGCATGGGCGGCCACGGCCTCTCGGCAGAGGCCTTTTCCCCACAGCCCAAAGCCTCTCCCGCAGCTCAGTGTGAGCCCTGTGCGGGCCTGGCCGCTGAGAGCCCTGGGGCTGTGCTTTCCCTTCCCAAGGTGCTCAGCTTGTGCGCTGTGAATTGATTCTCCTGCCCCAGCCCTAGCTGTTACTTTATTTTTCTTCATCAGTGAGCGGTGTAGGGCCTCAGTCAGGGCCCTGTTCAGGGCGTGGTCGTCTTCTCTGCAGCTTTTGTAATACAGTTTTGGCGTAGCAGGCAAAAGTCGTTCATGAAGATGTTTAAGTCATAAACTATAATATTTTAGTATTCAATGTACTGTCTCTACATTTTTCTTCTATCTTTACTACTCAGCAAATGCAGCCACCAATTACACATTCAGGAAATTTCTGTAGCGAATTTCTAAATCTTGTCTTCCACACTTCCACCTATGCTGTGCTAATTGTCTTTAGTTGTTTGACTTTAACTTGAAGGGTCAAGCTTCTTTAAGCTTGAAAATCAGGATGATCTTCAACTAGACAGAAAAACAATGCTCAAGGGTTTAAGGATTCTTATTAGATATTGTCTGGGACAATGCTGCTAATGGTAGGGTTTATTTGAATGCTCTCTGTCTGCACCAGATAGGGAGACACAGTTTGAATAATCTGTGGGGTAACATGCCAGAAACACTGAAAAGGTGGGGGGGGGGGTCAAGGTAGAAGCACTGCATCTGGCCCTGTGAAGCCCGATATCTTGAACACTAGGGCTGTATGGTGTAATACTACTTGATCTACAGCTTAAAGAAAGGCTTGTCTGTGAAATGTGCAGCGAAAGTTTAGGAACAGAAAAAGTCCAGAATGGAAGACAACACAGTGGTCCTATGTGAGGGAGGTTGGAGGGTCCAGAGGGGAGTGAAATTGATGTAATACCATAAAATCAATATTTGTGACAAAGCTAATTGAAATTTGGCGTGAACAAACATGAGAGGACCAATATAAAATCTGCTTGGGGTACGAAATTACTCTGTCAAATTCCTTCGAATTAATCTGATTTTGCGATCTGAGTTTACAGCTGGTCAGCGCTATGCACTGTGGAA